TCTCCCCAGCACATTTCTATTTGGATGGCTCTCTCTCGCGAGAGGAGTAACCTATGGAAGCGTAATGAAACTCATTATTAGGAAGTCTGTTTAATTTATATTGAAAAAAGAAGTTCCAATTTGATTAAAAACAGTTGTTAAAACAGTTTATTACATATATTACATAACACAGTTAAATTGATTGAAGTATATTCTTTATACTAGAATTCGAAAGATTAGAACGCGAAAGGATGTAGGTATCGTAATGGCTTAAAAGCCTTCGGGCTAGCCACATAGGATCAAGTAAGCTAATTTGTTTGTAATAATTACCTATTAAATAAATAATATATTATTTTTAAATAACTTTTCGACTAACGTTCTTTTGTCATATGCAGGTGCTCAAAAATATATGTATCTGTTATCGTATGAGGAAACTATTGTAATTGAAGTAAAGAAGTAAAGGTTAACACATAATGTGTGAGAGTTGTACATCAGTTCCGTATGAAAGTCGTCAGAAGAATGAACCGAGCTCTCTTTGGTGTGAGCATGATTCGTCTTTTTTAACCACCAATTATGGTTGTCAAAAGACAAACAAATTTCACTGATGTGTCTATTTTGATTATGTTATTATAATGTTAGTCGAAAAAAGATTAAATCAAAATTACGCGTAGATCCTCGTCACGAGCAGAAAAATACAAAGGTCGTGCAAATTGAAACAAAGTCATAATAATAATTATTAAGCTGCGGTTTTATAGGCACGAAAAACTATAGAAATAGGCAGGAAAAGTAGACATTTAAAAATGGAAAAATAGGCATTTAAAAATGTACAATATGCATTTAAAAGTGTAAAGTAGTCATTTAAAAAGAAAATATATTTTTCTTATCTTTATTAGTGTTCTTGTGAGGAAAGTTTCTGAAGTAAATGTAGTACAATTACCTTCATGAAAAGGTTGCTTTCATCATTGGTCTAACAAATTCTCGTAGAAATCATTTCTTTCGTTGATGGGCAATTTGGAGGAAAAGGGCTAAATCGCAGAAGCAATCTTTTTGTTTTTCATGAAAGACCTTTTTAAAGATTGATTTTTTAAACATACTTCTGTATTCTCTGTATCTGTAATCTCTGTATTCAATATTGTACTTTTGTAGTGTTAACTAAGTTTTGAAAATACAGTGTTCGCAAAAAATGGAACCAATACAAATGTTTATACCATCCATTGATACATACGAGGACAATATTTTAAGGAAAAATGGAGCGGTTTTGAGTAAAAAGGTATTTAAAAATTCGAAGTAAAATATAATCATCAGCATATTCTCCACCTGCTTCATGATACGAAATAGATGCAGTGGTATTAAAACGGAGCACAGATTTATCGACAGAGACTCGATTTCTCTGTAGAGTAAAATATGCAGCATAAAAAAACATTTTTAAAATGTTTGTTTTAAGGATAGTTGCATTTTGATCAATAAATACGAGAATGGGCAGCATTTAGGTATTTAGAAACATAATAGGCATTTATTAGTGAATAGGCATTTAGAGGCTCTATAACATTTTCATATAATACTTTTAAAGCCCCAAAATGAATATGTAATCTAAAATATTGCGTTTTCCATTGATGGAATATGAATATGCAAATAGGCAAAAAATCCGCAGATTAAAAGGGGTCAATTAATGACTTTGATAATTTTCACGAGATATATTTATTGACAACAGTTTCATAATTGTATACTACATTACGAATACTGAAAGAGGTGGAGAATATCCTTCAGGAAGAAGTTAATGCTAAGGGTAAAAATGATGCAATTGTCACTTTGAAACATATGAGAAAAAGAGTAGAGAATGCTGTATGTCCACTACGTGCGGACAGATCAAATTTTGGTGTATTTTAGAGAGCTATAGCCTTTCGGGAAACTTGATCAATGTAATTAAAAATGTGTAAAAAAATACCGAAATTTGTATTAAGTTAAATTATTGCAAAACATCAGATATTCTGAAAGTAAGCTGAAGATTAACACAAGGGTGTGGAATGATATCGTGCCTCTTAAACGTATATATTAACAAATTTGTGTATCTATGGAATACCACAAATCTAACAGGTATATCACTATCGAGAAATAAAAAACCCACACATTTACTTATGTAGTTTATCAAGTTCTTTTGGCTATGCAGAAGATGATATCCAACAAAATATAACATTCCTTAACCGACTCTAGCTGATACATAGTTAGAATTATATCTCTGTGTTTTAACATTTAAAATCGGAACGGCCTGTGACGACCTGAGCTAAGGCGAGTCACTATAATATTTGTAGTGAGTGCATGCCTAATAACACATAATTCACGTCGCGCTTACTTTTTTCATTCACAACCTTTTTCAACAAATCTATAGCGAATGTCTCAGTGTGAAGGGTGAACCACATACGATTTTCTAAATGATTTTCACTCGGTAAATTGTTCAGAATTCATCGAATTCGAGTGTATAAAAAAGAAGAAACATAAAAATAAGTATATGTAGGTGATATTAAGTATATATAAATGCTGCTGTATGTTGTCAATATATGAGTGAAGTTTCCTCTAATTGAGAACGTTCATTATTATATGAAGCTTTCTTATCCTTGAAGCCAATATGCATTTTTGCGGTGTATATCGGTCTGTAACATTTTTGCAGCGAGTATCATATTCTTATTAATTTGTTTGTGTATATAACGTGTCGGGATAGAATATCACGTGTGATAACGGTATTATCTAACGTATGAACATGATGTAAATGATAACTTTCTGATAACAACACTGCATATGTCAGGAAATTTGAAAACCATTGAGAAATAACTTTCTATTATACAAAATGTGTGGAATTTTGTTTTGTTCATTAGACTAGAGGGTGTCTTGCAGTAATTGTTAGTGATAATCTTTTATTGGACATGGTGGAAAAGCCATTCAATTAAGCCATACTTTTTGTCTTGATCTTTTCGAAACATTTGGTGAGATCAAAAAGTTCTAAATGGTGATTGAAAAAAAAGTGTTCTTTAAATGCATGGCGCACTAATTTTGTTTGAATATACCATTTTAATTCTTTTTTATGCTTTTGATCGTATTTTGTTATCTTCGTTGTATTTTGTATCTTCAAGATGATAAAAAACAAATATATCTTCGGTATACTCCCGTAACATCAATTATACTTCAACTTATTAATTAATATAATAAATATGTGAATAAATAAATCACATTGGCGATGCAATTACGGTGTCTTTAATGTAAATAAATATTTCCTCGTGCTTCTTATCGTGGATCTGGCTTGTCTGTTCTGTTGCCAACAAGAGACCACGATGGTCTCCAAGGTCAAGTACATAATAAAGTTGAGGAAAGGATTACAAACAGAAGGTTTTTTTAAGGTTTATCAGATGTTAAGTGAGGTGCGGTTTAATTGAGTGAAAATAAATCTAAGAGGAAATACTTATCCCCTAATAAGATGCAAAAATATTAGACACATTATTAGATTAGCTTTCTCTTAAAATATGTTTCTCGATCATCTGTGAAAACACACATAATATTAAAAATCCTTAGAAAATTGCATTTTACTGCTCCGAATGAGGACACATCTCTTTATCTAATCCCATAAACGCACCATGTAAGTGTTCGAACGGATTCTCTATTTAAGATAAGATGAGGATGTTTAATTTAGTTATATCCCTCGTTTTTAAACTCCATATCACCCATTCCTGTACTCGTATCGTGCATCATGACGGATTAATTACGATTTTCTTGAATGAAATAATGATACAAAAGTTGTTAATTGTTTTATGCAAATTACTTTTAAGAACTATCAGTGAGATGTCGGAATTTACAAGTAATTTAAATAACGTGTTTAAGTAACGTGAATGGGATCGAAAAGCTAAGAATTCCAAAGAAAAAAAACAACTGAATTTTAATCACTGAAAATGTTCTGAAATATATTACGAAAACGGGAAATCCAATTAAAAAGAGCATCTATTTATGTATTTTGTTTCTCGAGACGAAAAATGTCATTGATTGAATACATTGATTACCTCCACCTAGATTGCTATGATTGCTTGTCAAGTCTTCATCAACTGATGATTTTTTTTGATCCCATAAGTATAAGTAATTGGCTCTGCGCCTCCTGTTGGATCAAAATTGAAGAAAGAGAAACGAAGAAGACGAAAACATCTCCAAATATTTTAAATAATTCAGTTTTAACATTGTAGGTTATATTTGCAATATCCAAGGGACAAGGATTTCACTAGAAAATAAAAATTACCTTGTTAAGATTATTGATGAGCTATTCATTGTTAAGAGCGCCAGATAAAACTTTTCTTGCTTTAATCAGTCACACAGTTTGCGATTTACTGATTCTATGAGCCTTAGCTATCACTCTCGTACTTGTTTGGAATTCACTCTTGTTTTTGGCTAAAACGTGATATTGTTTCGGGACATGGTACTGGTGGCAAATCAACCTAATCTAGAGAAATCTGAGTTAGCCTCCACTATTTGCTTACGTACACAAGATTATTTTTTAAAAAAAATATTCAGATGATTTAAAACAAAAATGTTGTTTGTTAGAAAAGTAGACACACGCGATCTTACTATTACAACCCATCTACATCAAAAGAAGAAAAAATCACAGAAAAATGAGTGTGATATACAAAGAGACATCAACATTCTTTTGTTTCCACTAGAACTACAAAATTTTTGAATTTATTAATTTTTGAATTTCTAAAGAATATTGCACAAATCAATATAGCAGCTTGCACAAGATCATCGATGAAACTTGACTTCTGGACTAATCGGACTTGAAGACAAACCTGCATTCCCATCGATCTGAACACCGTGGCAAGATGTGTTTGGACATCTGCCTAAACAACACGCCAGGGGTTGCCACGCCGACGATTGTGAACTAATCTACTGACTTTTGGTGATTATTATTTAAAAAATCGATGTAGCAATAAATCGAGATGAGTCAATAATAAGTCAGCCACATGTGTGTGTGCTTTGTCCACGTCACTCACCTTCTCGAGCTCGAACTCTCGGATGCGGTGGATGGAGCCACCCAGCGCCTTGCGCGACACCGTCCCCATGGCGCCGCCCTCTGCAACGAGAAGCGTTTCAGCAACACGACGGATTCAACTCTTAGGTGGAAGAAGAGTTAAACAAGTTACATGTTAGAATTATCGCAATTAAAACAACTTACAACTGCTTATAAACGATCTCGTTTAAAGTAACAAATGAAAGTCCACTGTGAACTAAAAATTACGTACAAATAGTAAAATTTGTAAACTATTTTCTTGAAAAATAGAGAAGCGACATGATTGGATAAAATGAACGCTGAGTGTTAGAAATATGGGGAAATGCTTCTATAACTGAGATTGTCACATTTGTTTAACATGTGCTGGAAACAGGGAAAAATACCGCATAACTGGCTAATGTAGAAAGTAATCTCATTAGTTAAGAAAGGTAACAGAGAAATCTGTGAGAATTATGGAGGCATCAGCTTGTTGAATAGTGTGTAGATTCAATATTGTCAGAGCGAGTTTAGTTTCAAGATCCAATTAATATCTTGTGATATATATGATACTCCTTTAAATTAAGTGGAAATAACAATCTTATTTCAATTGATACTATTTATGACAAATCCGTATTTTCAAACCTTATGTAATACAAAAAATATTAAAATGCGGAACGATGGAAAGTAGAGTTCAGGAAAAAAACTGCAACAGTTTTGTGAATATTTGGAATATGTTTCGTATCTTCAAATACTAAGATCTCTTCTTTTCACCGAGCGCGCGCTAGCAGAGGAAGCGTTAGGTGACCAAGTGCGGCGGACTGTTTCATGCAAAATATCCCTTAAACACTAGTCTCAAAAAATCAAAATTACTCAAAAAATGCTTATCTAACATATGGCAATATGTATATCTGTAGATTTGTCTTTTTACGTTCGTCAGAATAGACTGAAAAAATATAGTGCCATTTGAAAAAACAGTTACCTGAAATATCTAATAAACGTGGTAAAATATAAATGAATACACGTGTTAATTAACTCGATTCCCTCATGCACTTCCGTGTAAAATGTATTGCAATAACTTTAACCTTTCAGAAGTTACAAGAGATGTTAAAGTTACGTGACTCAACCTGTATATAGTGACGTTCGGCAATGTCTACCAACGTTCCAGCCGCTCATGCATGTTTGAAGTCGTAAGAGTGAAGAATTCGCTGTACGCATGCCGCAGTGGTCAGTAGAAGCGTGATCCTGAATCAGCTGACCACAACAGCATGACCAGCTTACGGGGGTAGGTTCGTTTGCCGAGTCAGTCCTGGGAGAGGCATGACGTCACGATTCCCCTAAATTGAGAAGGCTGCAAATTTAAATACTGTGGAGAGCAGAGCAGATGCCTTTCTTAAACAAGCCGCCGCCAAGTGATTAGTTGGTTGTAAAGAGATGCCGTTTAGTTAGTACGACACGTAATTTCAATTTTGCTGTTCGCGTAGATATGTGCATAAAGCAACCGTTTTATGAATGATAACTGTTATTACGTAGAAATATTATCAGAGTGGATGAAGCATTCCAAATTGGAACTGTGTTTCGAGCATATTTACTTGCTGGCATTTTAAATAAAATACTTTGCATAATTGAAGATGCGGGTAAGAACTTGCGCGAGTGGCTGTGAATCGAACGAGTATTATAGGCAGACGCCAGAATTGTTAAATTCGATACAAATCATTAGCATTATTAGGAAAGTTTCGTTCTTCTACTCAATTTATATGGTAATCGAGAAAGTAAAAATAACGTTTTAATTGTGTATCTGTTGTCCATTTTTTGCGAATTAATAATTACTCTGTTTTACACTCTGCAATTTACTGCTAACTACTTTGCCTCCAAAGAAAACACCGTCACACTATTTTTTATCTAACTGCATTATTTCGAAACGAATTGAAGATTCACAGTTTCACACCTTCCTCCGGAGATTTTGCAATCACTCTGGCCAAGTTAGTGTGTTTTAGAATACAAGAGAACGCCAGCTGTCGTTAGGGCTTTGCTACTATTCCTGCTACTGTTTTTACCTTAATTATCCGTGGTTGCATTACCGGTTGCCGTGCTTTGGAAGAAGAATATCGTTTATTCATGCCATTTCATACTTTGGATTGTAATTAAAAACATATTTTATCCGAAAATTTGGATATCTACTAGGGCTAGTTTACTGTCTATGAGCTATTTTACTTGCACAACTTGAAACTGCACTTACTGGTGTTAAAACTGCACTTACTTTTTGTCCTGTTACAATATTAACGCAAAATTGCGCGCCTCAAATTTTTGAAGAATTATACTTCAAAATTGAATTATATTAAATTGATCTTTTAAAGTCAATCTTCAAGGAACAGATTTCATTGAGGGAAAAATCTGTATCTTAATATTTTAGTCGTAGGAAGACTCCAATTTTTTTAACTTTTGCAATTTTGGAAAAATCAGCGTTTTCAACGAACTTTAGATGTACACCAATCTCTTAAATATCCTTCACACTATCCAACAAAAAAAATTAAACAAAAACACTGGAACCATTTTTTGAAAATTTTGAAAGTGTCCCAAGGGCTTCATGAAAAGCACCCTCCAAAATTAAAGTATCGGTTTCAAATTCAAGGTGCTGCAACATCAGCCAGATCGACAGAAGAATATCAATTTTGGAGAAAATAAACTGAACGGTTTAGCCGCTAGCTTTGTTCACAGACGGATGCACAGTCACAAAAGGACAGACATCCTTTTTCCCGTCTTTCGATTTTTTGATATGAAGGACCCACATATGATGGATTCTGGCTACACTGCGTGTTAGAGATTTTTTTCTTAAGTTAGCAACTGGACCTTTTTGATACAAGGGCCCTGTAATAAGACTTCCTCTGCAAAAAATTCGCCGTTTTTTTGCTGAGCATTACATAACTTTCTACTCCGTAGCGATAAACTAAAAATGAAGTTTTAAGATAAATATGTTTAAAGTTTTCGCTGGCGGTTGTATTACAGATATCACAAGTACTGAATAGTTGTTGGACTATAAAGTGAATATTACTAAACTACCGCATAGGACCCCTGTTAAAGTCACTTATCATAAAATCAAGGTCATAATTCAAAATTCATATTTTTGTCGAATTCATATTTCAATTAACCACTGTCACATCCCATACATTCAACATAGCAGATTGTTTGAGGGTTCTCAGCTATTCCTTGCCAACTAATTTTCCCCCAAACAAACAAACAAACAAACAAACGTCACCCTTAATTTCCTTCCATTAGTCCTCTTTCGCCATGAATGTTTTCACATTTCTACCCAGCGGCGACCGACCGAGTTGCGGTGTTTGGGGGTGCGCGAGTTATGTAAATGTGGCTGGCAGGATCTTCGAGGTAACTAAGACACTGACTTTGACCAAGAAATAAACTTATTTCCAAGTTCAGTACATATGGATGTTAGAAATTACAACTAAGATATGAGGCCACTTGCAGGGCTCCCCCTGCATTTATGTGCTCCGAGGGCGCTTGTCATAACTAAAGTGATGACGAATGGATCGGGAGTGCGGCGGTGACGCTGCAAGACGGCGGTCGCGCACGGTCTTCGGAGCTCCCCGTGATTTCGGAGATCGACCCCTTCGGAGTCTATGTAAGTCAGTCTCTTCGTTTGCGTTCGTCATTGCGAACCCCGAAGCTTCCTGGTTCATAGTTAATGTGAGTCAGTCTCTTAATTTCCTTTTTTTCGGGCGTCCGCGACGCCGTTGTGAAATATTACATTAGAACTAAGGTGGTGTAGGGATGGCCGCTGCTGTTGTAGTAGCGGGCGGACATGACTTGCGGGCCGCCTGCTGTCACGCCGGGGCCGCTGTGGAACTTCCCGCGAAGAGCTGGGAACGGCGCCGCCCGGAACCGGCGCTCTATCTTTAGGTCTCTCTCTCGAGAGAGGATTCTCGGGAGAGGCCGAGAAGGCGGGCTACGCAGAGAAGCCTGTTCGGATCCTGCGCAAGACCTGCGCCGCATCACTCTTTGCCCTTGCGGTGGCGTTGCGTCGAAGTGGGACGTGAATGGATGTCTTTGTGAAAGATTCTGAGTATCGTCAATCCACGGTATATTTTCTTTCGCGTCTAGTCGGATTGGCACCAGCTGACGAAACGATGGGCGGCAACACTGTCATGTTTCCTAATATGAAATATCTAGAACATTTGGTGTAAACTTTTGGAAGGATATTGCAAATAACAAATAACTATATTAGAAGAAAGAATGAATGAATGAATGGTAGACCACGTCTTTCCACTATGAAAAAAGATTATTGAAATTTTCGTTAACAGTTGTAAGAACTTCTATGTCAAAAATGTGCCTTCTCCCGGCGCACGACCACTTTTCATACGAAGTAAGGCGAGAAAATAAAATTACCTTGTAATTTCTTCTGATTGGAAATATGATACTATTAACAATTCATTCATGATAGTTTTACGTAATTCAGCGTAAGTTATTATTAAATTTCAACCCAAGAGGGACACAGGTTCATATTTTATCGCTTTCGTTGAGAAAGCGAATTGTTTCCATAACATTTCAATGATCTATTATTGAAATGCATTATTCTGTTTCAGTCTGTGTTTGGGTTTCTCGTAGGTCAGGGGCAGCCAACGTTTTAAGTAACAAATTCCAAGTACTTTATTCTCATATGAGTTTAGATGCGCAATTCCACGACTGCATATTATGTTATTGGAGAACAAATATTCAATTATGAGACCGGCTTAGGTTGCAACAATTGAAGTCACTAGTGCCTGCGAACAGGTCCTAAAGTTTGAGGATTTTCGCCTTTATCTAGGTCGAATTCAACCGTTGTGTGGATTGATTGTTTTAGTGATTCCGGGCGCGTCAACTAACTAGGTTACTATTCCCGTAAGTTTAGTCCATGTTTTTGCTAAGGAGGTGGCAGTGGTCTTACCCTCGCTGTGTGTCGAGATCCGGCGCCGACCTACCATCGGCTAACGGGGTTTTCCCCAACCCGATATCTTCCACCAGCGGGGCACTGCCCCATCCGGGACAAGCTCTAATCTCCCGACCGGTCTCCCGGCATAGGTGCTTATGTAGTG